GAGCCGGCTTGTAAAACCAGAGATACATAACGACGAGGACTGAACTGGTGCATCCTTGTAGACAGTTTGTGAAGCGCACGCACTGCCCGATACTGAGTGCTGATGACAAGCAGAATTTGGCATTCTAAGAAAGGATATAATTGCTGTTCGCCGGGTACTGTTTCCTGTCGTCGTGGTTGACTGTGATGTCATAGCGGAAAAGTGTAATAAATTCACAATAAGAGTACTCGGCAGCTACAAAATGAAAAAAACCACTGATCGCACAGTGAAAGACCTCGTACTTTCGCTTAGCATAGCACTGCGGTCGTTAAAAATGCCTGCATCTAAGAAGATAGGAGGCAACGAAGCATGTCAAAACTGTCGAGAATAATAAAGCTGAGTTTATGGTATCAACTGGAAGACTTCTCAAAACGCCAATTGCCGAATACGCGGCAGCACTGCGGAGAAATGATGCAAATCCTCAAGTTGCAGCTCATTCGGTGAGACCCAGAAACAAATTCAAATTTGATTGGGCCGAGATTCTCGCGAGATGTGACAATCGTGTGAGTCGCGAGTTATTTGAGTAATGGTTCACAGGCCACCAGTCTATACACAGGTGCAACGACCTGCCCGACTCATATTCGGTGCTGAGGCTCGGTTAGGCCAAAGCAATCCGCTACTCGGGGAACGCACAAGCCAATACGTCATCTAAAGCCAGCGCCTGGGATCCAGATAGCCGAGCAATCATCACATCCAATTCCACAACGTGTGATTAAAGTATAGCGGGTCACGACCCGCACGTCGGCCATAAAGCAATTAGCACACAAGCGAGCAATCATCTTCGATAGGGGAGCCGTTAATCGTCATAAATGTGCAGTAGCATAGTAATTGTATCCTATAAATACTGCAACTTCCTGTGTATGAATTACCCATATCTGCTATGGTCTCTCATGTTGGATCTGCGACGGATTTCGAAACGTCAGGCGAATAAGGGTCTTGTCTCAGTGATCATGTCTTCTTTTTCTCAGACTTCAATATCACCGTGGTTGGGCCGATCTGCAGAAAGGCGGCAAGCTACAGCATAAAAACTACCGTAGAAAAAACGTTGCTTTGCCAGTGCCGAAATAGTCCTCACGGTCACGCCCTTTGGTCGTGTTCGGCCGTACTGCAACGCAATGACAGAAAAGAAAGCTATCTGCACAACGGCCAAACCATTTTTCCCCCGTATTTTGATTTACCTATCAATACTTCACAAGCTTCGGCACTTACTATATTGATAAAGCGAGCCTATTTAAGTATTATTTTCTGATTAAAGGCATGGATTTGTCACAAACACCCATCGAACTTAGAGTTTCAGAACCTAAACAACGATGACTCTTGTTTGTTACTTTCAGAAGTTCTTACAGATGAGGGTTTTTACACCGTTAGGTAAAAATGTATCAGAAAAACAGTCCCTATGAAAGCGTGTCGACCTAACTCGTTGAATAAGGGTTAACACGCCAATTCTGACGGTAAAACCGCCATTTAAGTCTGTGGAATAGAGCCCTTGTAAAGCGGAAATGTCAGGGAATTCAAGGCGGACAGAGGAATGTCCGTATTACGGCGACTGAGCTTCGTCCTGATTTTGGAGGCAAGCGGGCAACTAAAACTTAGTATTCTTCCACGAACCTGTACGCCACAAGGGGAAGGGCAAGAAAAATAGAGAAAACCCCAGTGAAAATCTAGCAGTAAAGCTGCCCAAGCATAGAAATAGGAAGTGCTTGTTTGGCGCTCGGGGTATGAAAACCTCTTAAGGGACGCGGTAACCTAGCCAGATTCAAAAAATGGGCAATCGGTAGGGTAGAGGGTAGATTTACGGGCCTGTCCAGCACAGCCTAAGGGCTGTTTTGGGTGGCCGTTTTAATGTAAGTAGAAAATAGGACAGGAAAAGGGAGAGAACTACGTACCGAACCGTTACATCGACCGTAGGCGGAGGTGTGGCTGAAGAGGGCTGTGGAGATCAAACAGGATCCATTCACCACACGGCGATCAGATGTCAGTTGGTAACAGAAGCCGCAAACGTGCGCCGAAATGCAGGTATTGCAGGTTGAACTTCGGAAAGAGCGAAGGGTAAAGAGATGATGCGGGGCTAATGTGGGCAGAAGAGGCAGCTACACAGCGTGACGAGTGCTGGCACTCACCATCATGATAAAGACGTGGTAGTCTGCTACAGTATCAGAATAAAGACACGACTTTTAAGAATTAAAACAGCGGACTACTCAAATTGAGCCGCCATTTTTACCTCCCTCCATATGCATCTAAATTTTCTTATATATACGTCAGTTGGCCTACTTCACCCATCATAAACCGATGTTCATCCCTCTTTGTTTATTCGAACTACAATGAGGTTGTGACATTCATCACGTCAATTTCATATATGGATTTTAGCTGTTGTTAACTGTGTGTACGACTTGGCCCACTTGGCCGAAGCATGTGTCCGTTAGCCCGCTTACTCATCCACTGATGGTCCATGTCCTTTGCGCATGTTCTGACCCTTTGACCTCGTTGACTGCCTGCCCATTCGGTGACACACTGCGAGCTTTATTCCCGTGTGCTTATTCACCACTCCCCCTTTTCAGCTCATAATTGTCTCTGTTCAGGTCCGCCCACGGGCTTTGTTCCCGCACGGTGTACTTATTCGCTCCCTCGTTCTTTACTTTCTTGTCCCTTATAAACTAGCAGCAACGCGTCTGCGTCATTCAAACGACTGCTCGTCTAAGCACCTCGAAGGTATGTTCACCCTCATTTTGATTTCTACCTCGCATCTTTACCTATCATGCACTGCTAACCATACTGTTTATTTCTATAGAATCACATAAAGAATAACCGAGTTAGCTGACTGTCGTTTGAGATAATTCTTGACCTCGGGTGCGTATATTCAGGTGACGAAAACCAGCACAGCATAAAGAAACACTGCATTAGCAACAGTTACTCGAATTGCTCTTCAGCCGTTCTAACAGATGTCATCGGTGCACGACGCTAGTGCCGTTTTGAAAGCAGTCCAATTTTCCCTATATTTGACGAATTTTCCAGGGGCATTTATCCACGATGTCTACAATTGCAGTCATTGACGGTTAGGGATTGCTTCTGATTTCACGGTGTAGTGAGTTTGTGTGTCTACTTGTATGCCTTGTGAATGGAGGACGTTTTTGCTGGAAATTTTGGAATTATATTTTCAAAATAAAGCGTATTGCTCTCTCTCTCTTTCTCTCAAAAGAGCGTAAACAATTGGGCATGTAATAAAGGCGTAGAGGAGGTCCAAAGAGCTAAAGAATTTAAAAGTGCCGATAGCCATGATATGAAGTACGTGCACAACAAAATAATCTTAAAGATGAGTAACCAATAGAACAGCTAAAAGTGATGGATGTTTGGCTACGTGAGGAATTAAGACCACAACAACGTATTAGTTGAGCACTCCCCCCCCCCGATGTACGAAGGGTTTCAGAATCTGGCTGATCAC